TTATATATTTATATCAAAAATTTGACTTTTGATATGGGATACAATATAATATATTTAGTTAGTTTTAGTATATGAGATTATTACCAAATTCTTTTTTGTTCTTTTTTACTTAAGGTATTACTTTTTCAGTTTATAATTCATATTTTCTAGGTATAGTAATTGCAGCATTTTAAAATGACGTTTTTTCTATTTTTCTAGCGTATATCATATTTATATCATAATGTACAATATATAACATATACATATATGTCTAAATTATCTAAATTAAATCGAAATTATTTTGTTCCCTAGAAAATTGAGTAAGTCCCATTAAGCTGTAATCTCTTGCCTGGTATCTCAGCTATATATGTATGTATATTTAAGCTTAGTTTTTTATACATTTACATATATGTTTTATATATCAACGTTGACCCACTATTCGCATAGAGAGACTATCCACACTGCACACACGGAAATTGTCTGCTCGAAAAATGTTGCATCAGTTCGATGCATTTGGCGATATGCAAACACGCATAAAAGTTATTAAGCTGCCGCCGGCCGTTGCACAAAAATTGCATCAGACAGGAGCCGTTGTTGCTGTTGTTGCTGTTGTAGCTCCAAAATGCCTCTCCTACTACTACTACTACGWCTACTATTACAACTGCAAACATATATAGTAGTGTATGTGTGCACAGAGCAGAGCCCCCAGCTCTGCTAATGCCAATTTATGAAGCGGGCAGTGGGCAGCTAAGGCCGCAAGCTGTATTAAGCTGGCCACGGCGAGGACCCTCACCTGGGCCCAGGTAACAAAAAAGCCCATGCATAATTTGATATGCGGCCATTGCGTAAGCGACAGATGCCGCTACATTGCTACTGACTGCGACAGCGACGTCGACGTCGCGACGTCAGCGTTTGCCGGCGGCACCTGAAATTATGTTTGCTGCGACGCCGACGTCTGCGTGGGCGTTGAACGTCTAATCGGCGTCAATTTGTTGACAGCTTGTGCATGTCTGGGAGCATGGCCGGCGGTGGTTGGACAAATCTTCAGCGAAACCCACCTCATGACTTGGCTTAACTAACTTGTTGTCTTGGCCAAAACAACAATAGCAACAACAACAACAACAACAGCAACAACAATTATAAGTAGCTGCAATCGCACCTACAGTCGAGTCGAATGAGGCAACACAGTTGGCGCAGGCGCAGCTGGCCGAGTGCTAAAAAGTAACGAGAGAGAACGAATGAGAGTGAGAGCGAGAGCGAGAGAGAGCGCTCAGTAAAGGAATTTAGTTCATGGGAGCAAATGTTGCGGCTTTTTGTTGCTGTTGTTGTTCTTCTTCTTGATGCCACTTACCACTTGACCTGCAGTCGGCAATTGATGCACATGGCATGCCATAAATGTAAGCTAAGCTTTAACTTATTAAACCAAACAGACACGCACACTCACACTCACACACACGCACATGCACACACGTGTGCTATGGCACTCCTTAATTCTCAGTTGAACTAACCTTGACCTGGCCTACGTTAAGTGCTTTTTATATTAACTATTTGCAGCTGGCTTCCACTCAATGACATTTCATTTGGTTTAACCTCTAGTAAATGCTTTGAATTAGCAGCTCTAGTTGAGCTAATTAGCATTAGCCATCGTCATTATGGCCAGACTTGGTTGAACATCCCTTACACGTGGTGCAACAGCTCGAAAGCTTAACAAATATTGTACAAATTGCAAAGGACTTGAAATTACACTTGTTTATGAATACTGGTGAGTAGATGGAGTATATAATGAGTGTATAGTATATAGAGCTAGTAGTGTTTAAGCTTTGGAGTTTTGGGTATATGAGACATAGAAACAGCATGTGAATATAGAAAGCGTGAAGAGTCACAAAAATTGGATAATAGATTCGTCTAAGCCATGAGCAAGTATTGGCAAAAAAAAAAAAAATCTACATATTCAAAATATATAATATAAAATATATAAAA